GGAAGAAGTGCTAGATGAAATTGTTTGAGCTTCCATCATCTCCCTGACCATTTTTTCGATGGTGTTTTTCTGTTCAAAAGAGTATCTGTAAGGGCGAATGTTAACAGGCTTGGATCCTGGTAGCAGCTCTATTGCATGATCACAAGTCCTGTTTGGGAGAAGGCTTTTGGGCACTTGAAAAATGTCCACAAATCTGGACAATAAGCCTTGGACTGATTCTGGTGGTCCATCATTTTTGGACAAGGCTTCCATTTTTGTTAGTTGAGCTGAAATGATGCATTGGCCCATCCTTAACAACTTCTGAATAACCTTTTCGTCACAAGATTCACTCGGCCCAGAATTATCGCAACCTATCAAGGTAATGATTTTGTTCCCTCTGAAAAAGGAAATACTGTGTGATCTAGTGTGTAAAACAATTGGGGCCATCGTATCTACCCAATCCATGCCCAATATAATATCCGCTCCTCCAGCCTTTAAGAGTCTCAAATCAAAAGAGAACACTTCCTCACTCATTTTCCATTTGAAAATGGGGCACAATTGGGTGCAACTCATAATTTGTTCATTAGCTACCCGTACCCTCATGGGCTTAGTCATGGGCTCCGTTCTCCATTTGAGTTGCTTCACAATGGCTGGGTCTATAAAGCTATGCGTAAACCCACTATCGATCAAGACTGTAATGGGCTGCTTCTTGACCCATCTTCTGATTCTGATTGTGGAAGGGGCATGATTGAGGCCCAATAGTACATTTAAAGGAATTTCGGCCTCGTCCACTTTTTCCACCCTTTCAATCGCCTCTCCTGGTTACTCCTCCTCTCCTCCTGCCTTCTCCTCTTGCCCTTCCATAGCATTTAGTACCTTTGGTTTGCACTGCTGTCCCGAAAAATATTTGTCGTGGCACTTTTAACATAAATTTTGCTCACGGAGTGTTTAGAGGTTTGGGACCTTTTGGGCTATGGGTTTGTTGGGTAATGCAGGATTTTGGCCTTTGGTTAGTGGAAATGGGGTTTGGGTTGTGGTTTTATAGGAGGGGTTATATGTGGGTGGCTTAGAAAATTTGGCAGAGGAATTTTTTGCTTGGGCATTTAAAGACTGCTCATAGAGTTTTGCCATATTGTAGGCAGCAAGCCGTGTTTGTGGATTTGTGACCTTCACCAATGGGCCAATCTCCTCTCTGAGGCCCCCCACGAAATAGGTTATAAAATAGAGCTCATCGAAATGAAGTCTGACTACTTGGACTCGGCAGCGTAAATCCTCAAAATGTTTTTGATAACTTGTTACATCGACTCATTGTTATAGTCTATTTAAAACAGTGACCACATCTAGCGGCCCAATACCATCATAGCGTGCACACAAGTCCACACAAAATTGGTTCCAAAACACCTGCCCTCCATGATCAATGGCGTATGAATCAAACCAGCTATCAAACTTATCCTTGACACTCACTGCTACATATATCATTTTGGCAGCATCTGGGACTTGGTAATAGCCAAAATAGTACTGGCAACGGCGTATCCAACCCCTAACATTGTTTTCATCAAATTTTGAAAAATCCAACTTAGCCTTTAGAAAACGCAAGTTAAGGGCCGTAAGGTCAGAGTGGGAAAACAGGGTTAGGAGTGTGAAATCAATATGTCGGGGTAATTAGGACATAGACATTGGTACTTGAGTGGTGAAAATTGACATTTGTGACATGAGGGCTGATGATAAAGGAACAGTAGACGTATAATACATTGATATATTAATTGCATCCAATATATTTTAAACTTACAAAGACGATAAAAGTATTTAAAATAAAATAATTCTCATAATATTTATCATGATTGAAGAGATATGGTGAGCGTTAACGATCTAGATCACAAAAATAAAAATAAAAAAATTCTCTAACGACAATGTAAAAGATATATGGGGTTGTCATCTATTGTAACAAATGCAAAAGGAGAGAAAAAATAAATGACAAATAAGTAAATTATATTCTATTATTTTATCCTTATTGCTTCAAGTCTGTATTATTTTAATTTGGCTCTTAATACTACATCATCGATTTTGTTTTATTTTTTTGATTGCCTTAACCACAAATTGCTCTTTTTTTAAGCCAACTTTATGTACTCTAAGAGTTTTTTCAATTGATTTTTTTCTATTTAGAAAATAATTGGCTGGCATTATTTTGTTAATTAGTTAATTCAAAAACTTAAATTTTTATTCTCAATAAGTAAATAATTTATTTTTTATTGATTCAAATTCTTGATATTGGCTCATCATCTCAATAAGGATTATTTTGTTATTTTTTAATTTTTGATATTTGTATTTGCAAAATCATGAGTGTTACCAAATACTACTTTTCTAGTCTCTCTCGCCCCTTCTCTGTTTATCTTCTATATTTTCAAAATATTATATGTCATTTGTTTTAATTATTGAGTGTAATTTTAAAGATATTATACATAAAAATTTACTAAATAGAAAAATATTGCTTGGAGAGAAAAGTAGTTCAAATATAATATGAACTATTATAGTTCACATATAATAACTTGAAAAGAATTACGATTATATTACATTATTCAAATAAAAAAATACTTTATGTAAGATAATAAAAAAAAAATTAATCGGTTTTAAAATCCAATATAAAGATTTAACAAAAAATTAGGTGCAAAAAAGGGATAACTTCTTAAGTATTAACCATTATTTTACACATAAATTTGCACCTTTTATCCATAATAAAGTTTTCTTGTTATATATTTCAAGATCTCGTGGTTGATATTTTTATAACTTTTACAAGAACAAAATTTGCAAAAATATAATCTTTCGTGGTTGATATTTTTCAACTTCTACAAGAAAAACATGAAAAATTATATTACTTATTTAAAGTCCTAAATACGTGACCTTTTAAATATTAGGCATAAAAGTTGTATGATCTATTAATTACTTTAATATCGTTAAAACACAAACATTAGTTTACTTTTTCCCCTACATAGAATATGCATCCGCTAAAAGTAATATGAAAGATTTGTAAGTATTTAATAGAGTTTAAACAAGAAAAGAATTTATGTATGGTAAAATACCAATTGATTTAAAGCCCTAAAATTTAGAACTTCTTACCTACCTCAAATAAGGAAAGATTTAATAATCAAAATTATAGTCAATTTTAAAGTTCAAAATATTAGGGAATTAATTAAATGACTGTTTTATCTAATGTGAAATCTATTTTTAAAGGATAAAAAGACGAACGACATTTCGCTAAGGAACTTCAATAATATAAGAAATTTATACACTTTTACGGCTATCGGATATAAATAGTTTCGGTCACGGAGTAAAAGTGATCTCTACCCTCAATATTTTCGAAAAACATGGAGGGCCTCTCAAGAGAAAGGCCCCAGGCCTAAACATCCTCTAGTAGGCAAACAGGAAGCAGCATTTCAGGCCCAACGTACCAGAATTTCCAATTTCCAACCATTTCTTCTGGCGCGCATGGTAGCCGAATAAAATCTGAGATGCAAGCAAGGCAATTGTGGCCTTATGAAGTACAGTATACGAAAGGCTGTAAGGAATTGAATGGGGAAAAATAATATTCTAACTAATGATCTCGCATCAAATTCCATTGTTTAATTAATTGTTTGTTGTTTAGCAAAATAATATGTAGGAAAAAAAAATGGACTGTTTACGTTCATTTTGCTCTAGTTTGTAAATTTCCTACCATGTACTATGCTAAATAATTATGCTACGGCTATCACTTACTTCAACTCAACAGTGAACTTACTCATTCTTAGAAATCACAGAAAATTTCTTAAAATCACATTCTGCCTCAATAATATAATGGTAGTGGAAAAGAAGAAACCAAGAGCCCACTTAACTCTTTTTATCTGACCTCACATTCTGCATGGCCAGAAAGAAAGTGAAACAGAATCAGTTGACTCTCGAACATCCTCAGATATGATACAATCTAGAACAATTTGCGGCCATTGTAGCAAGACTTATGACTACCTTGTATCACACTCAGCAGTGAAGGTGTGCAGAGTTGCCCTAGACTATGTCCAACGGGTCCTTCATCTTGACAAGGGACACAATTTTTGGGGTCAATCTCTGTGACAAGGCAGCTAAAGGAAGAAACTCTTGCGCAGCTGAATGTAGTAAAGCCAGGGATAACATCAAACAATGCTACCATTGTGCTGGTGCGGGCAGCTTTGCCAACAGAGAATGAGAGTGAATTCTGTCACATCTTTGTTCTTATATGAGTACCTTTAACTAGAGTGCTGCAGGCAAGGGGTCGAGGAAGTCGTGAAGCATTTTCAGCTAGTTGAAAAGAGATATTCGTAGAACTTCATCAAGTGGCAGAACAAAGATGCAATCCTTGTTCTGGCTCTCTAACGCTGCATTATCTCTGCCCATATCAATGGAGCTTTCCTAGCCTGAATCCTTCAATTAAGACAAATCGTCAGCCATAAAAAAGAACTTACTTGTGAAGTTGTGATTGATTGCATGCAAATTTGCTAGTGTCTCGTAGTGTGATTGACACTGATTTTTTTACAGTAATTGGGAGAAGTATGATTTAATTGTACCATCACAAAGTTATCTGCTCTATAAACAATCTGCATAATTTAATTGTTAAAGCTTTATTATTGTGGCTTGCTTATATTATCATTAATTATCTGATCACAAAGCACATGAAAATGACAACTCGCATATGAAGTGTTTGTTGCATCTACAAGTTCGTTTTCTTGGTCGGTCATTTCGTAAACTTAAGGATGATTATAGGAAGGTGCTTTGGTACTAAGGAGACATTGGATGCTTTAGAAAAAAAGGCTATTAGCTCAAAACATGTTGCTAATGTATATTTTAATTATATGGTACATGAGATCTTGAAAAATTAGAAACATCTTCCATTAGTTAATCACATATACATGTGATCCAAGTTTTTCCGCCTAAATGGGCGGGTTTTGCTGGATTATAACAAGAAAATGAAATATCTCTAAGTTTGGTCCCCTCTCGGGTCCACAGGGCTAGGGTGGCTACAATAAGCAATGGGATCTTAATTCTCATTGATTCTAACATATGAAGAGACAAAACTGAGGGTAGTCCTCCTAATTCAATAACTCACAAAATTCAACTATCTGATGTTGGCCTTGACCTAAGCATAATCATTAATTTTTATGCAGTTGCCACAGTGCACATGTCAATTTTTTCTTTTCCCAACGAACAAATTGTTGAGAGTTTCAACGTGCAAGAAGATGGTAGTTCCAATTTTACGTATAAATACACCAACACGAAAGTATTACCTTCAAAATTGAGTCCAAAAGTTGAAGAAAAATGGATAGCCCAATTCCATCATTGACTAAAAAATTGGACAGCAAAATTGCCATCATCACAGGAGGAGCAAGTGGTATCGGCGAAGCCACCGCACGACTCTTTGCTGAACACGGCGCAAAAGTGGTAATTGCTGACATCCAAGAAGAAAAGGGTCGGTCAGTTGCAGAATCTATCGGCTCCAGTCACTGCAGTTTCATCAAATGCGACGTCACAGACGAGCAACAGGTCCAATCCTTGGTACAATCAACGGTGGAGATCCACGGTCGGGTCGATATCATGTTCAGCAATGCTGGAATTGCAAGCACCAACGATAACGAACAAGACATCCTAGGTTTTAACCTGGATGCATTAGACAATCTATTCGCGATCAACGTTCGGGGATCGGCGGCGTGTGTGAAGCACGCGGCGAAGGCCATGGTGGAAGGTGGCGTGAAAGGGAAGATAATATGCACGGGGAGCGTGACGGCGACGATGGGAGTAACCAAGCAAATAGATTACGCAATGTCGAAGCACGCAATACTAGGATTGGTGAAATCTGCAAGTAAAGGACTGGGTAAGTACGGTATACGCGTAAACTGTGTTTCTCCTGCGGCAGTGGCAACACCTTTGCTTGAGAAATCAATGAAGATGAGTGTGGAGGAGATAGAGAAACTGTTTGATTCCTTCAATTGCTTGAAAACTGGGGCGGCTATAAAAGCTTCTAATGTAGCTGATGCTGTTTTGTTTTTGGCTTCGGACGACTCACAGTTTGTCACCGGCCATAATTTGGTTGTCGATGGAGGTTTTCATCCTCCTGCCTGATCTTTCTCGGCCTTAGGCTTGGGCTCTAGTGTTTCATCCCCGTTAATTTGGGCTTAGATTTCCTCTTGTATCTTTGTTGGGCTAATGGGCTTGGGTTTGTAAATCTGTGTATTCCAAAATAAGAGAAAGTGAATATGATTTTTTATTTATTTATTGAATATGATTTCTCCGGTAACAGCTTGATGATCAAGATGTCACCGTTTGTCTACGGTCGAAATCGGGCATACTCAATTTCGTTGGCAGAGGAGTTGCCCCGAGGGTAACCTCATAATAGATCGGGCTCGAGCTCGAAGATAGAACATCAAGCCTAGAGATCGAAGTGTTCATTGAGATCGAGGCCAGCAACAATCGAGATCAAGCATGACTAACGTCGAGTAAGGCGTAATAACGGAATGGCGAGATATTAGTAACCGGTCGAAGATTACGGCGGAAATCCCGGAACAGATCAAATCAAAGCGGTTATTAGTGCCAATCATGGGATCTACTTCCGTTATTAGAGTTGCACCTTATTTAGGATTCCTCTATTATATAAAGAGGGATTCATTCACTTGTAAGCATAATAATCATTATTCACTGATAAGAATATACACATACACTGCTTTCTTTATTTTACTTACTGTTCATCACTGTTCATCGATGTGTGTTCTATCATCTACTGTTCTTATTAACTAACCTCGAGACTATCTCGAATCGAGGTCGAGGCATTGTTTGCAGACTGGTTTGATTTATTTTATTGTCCAATTTATCTATTTAATTCGTTGGTTATCAATTGGTACTGGGTTAAATCACATATCCTTAAAATCACAATATAAGTTTAATTGTTACTCAATTTTTAGAGTAAATACAAAATTTTAAGCTAAAAGTGATGTCCTTCTAGGGGCAGCGTGGTGGCCAAAATTATACAATCCGATCGAAATTTAGTTCAATTGAGTTTCCTCTCCTTTTCCTTGTATTTAAATTAAAAAGAACTCCTACAATTACGGAAAAGTATATTTAAAGAGCAAAATTAATGAAAGATAAATAGGGGAAAACGAAAAATAAATAGAATATAGGAGCAATCAAGAATCATAAGGTAGTGCTTATACAAAGAGGGAACTAGAGATAAATACTAATGCAATATTGAAGAACCTTTACATTTTGGTTTTCTTTGCATATTTTACCTCCTTAACAAATGTATACACCCTATTTATTATAAACCAAAATTATTTTAAATATTATTTTCTATAGCTACCTTTTATAGTTTATAGCAAATCATTACCTCTTTCTTTCCATTAACACACAATTCTCTCTCAGAATTTTTCTTCTTTCTTTCTCTTTCTCTTCGAGCAAAATAAGTCGAATCATAGATACACGAAAAAGAAACAAATCATGAAAGAAAGCTTAAAAATCTCAAAATCAGAAACGTGAAAGTAAACCTATAATCAAAAAAGGAAGCGGAGATACCTTGGGCGACGCACGAGATTGAAGAGAAAAAGGGATTCTTAGCACGGTAAGTAAGAGAGAAAAGAGGAAGAAGCGGTCGAATTGGAAGGTGTAAATTGTAATAAAAGAGGTAATTGTATTTTTATTTAAATACATTTTTTTTAGCTTGTGTTTATGTGCTTCGAATGTCTGTATTTTTTTAATACAGCTGAATACACTTGTACAGTATGCATGAATATATGATATAAACATTGAAATACACTAAATACAAACATTAAAATAGAACAGAATATAAACAGTGAATACATTTAATTTTAAAATAGAGTAAAATATACTAAATACAAAAAAAAATATAGTGAATACAACCAATGAAATATACTAAATACAGCAGTAATATTATGTATTAGGAATAACTAAAATACTATTAATACAAATACATTTGAATACACGAAATATAAAATAACGAATACAGTAAATACAAACGTTGAATCTAATGAATGCAACAATAAAAAAAAATTAAAATACACTAAATACAAAAGTTATATACAACTGAAAAATCATTCTAATTAGTTGGGTTGATAATGAGGCATGTTAGAATTAATTTTGTTGAGTTATATTAGGAGTGTATCACGCTAATTGATATTATTTCTGTTATTAGACAACTGGACATACATATTTTTAAGGTGATTGTCGTTACTGTATTTATGAATACATGGCGAGAATACATGTGAATACATGCGCGTACAGCTGGACTGCCCTAATTTTAGGCGCTTTTACTGCTGTTTTCATGAATACAGCAGAGCGAATACAAGTGAATACATGCGCGTACAGCTGGACTGTCCTGATTTTAGGCGTTTTTTGCTGTTGTATCCATGAATACTGATTTTAGGCGCTTTTTGCTGTTGTATTCATGAATACATGACGCGAATACATGTGAATACATGTGCGTACAGCTGAACTGCCCTGATTTTTAGGCACTATTTGTTGTTGTATTCATGAATACAACAACGCGAATACAGCGAATATACTACCGTAACAACTGAATAGTAGCTATAGAAAGTAATTATGTATATGATAGCTATAAGAAGTTAATAGCCACTAAACAATAGTGGTTTCTGAAAATTCCTCTTTTTTATTCTGCCGGCGTGGTATAAAAGTAGTTTGAAAAAGACCCCCCAAAAAAAGGCACGACGAAATTTCAAGAGTGCTGCATGTATTATTTTTGGAAATCTTCGAATAAATACTGGTCATCTGGATTTTTTAAAAAGATCTGAAGAAAATAATATATTTTGGAGAAAAAAGATTTCTTTCTCTTTTTTGGGAAGAGTTTTGAAAGGTTTATGAGTGCAGGAATATTTTTTTTGAACAGAAATTTTAAATATATTTTTAACAAAACATGGTCCCTCCAAGAGCGGCGAAATGATCTATATGCTTCAACTCCAAATGCTGCATTACGAGTATAAATCTTTTGCAATTGTTAAATCTTTTTTCTTCATCAAATAAAAAAAGTACGTATTATAGTTACAGAAATTCATCCAAAAAGAGGGATGATTGATAGAAATAAATAGAATATAGGAACAACCAAGAATCATAATTTAGAGTCCATAGAAAGAGGAAAATGAAGATTAATAGCATGTTTGGCCAATCTTCTCGTGCTAAAAGTAAGTGCTTTTTTTTTTTTCAAAGTTAGAAGTGTTTGACCAAGTTTTTAGAAGAAAAAAAGTGCTTTTGAAGAGAAGCAGAATCAGTTTTGGAAAAGCAGAAAAAGATAGCTTCCCTCCAAGAGCACTTTTTTGAAAAGCACTTTTAAGAAAAATACACTTAAAAGTAGTTTTTAAAAGTTTGGCCAAACACTAATTGCTGCTCAAAAATATTTTTCAAATAAATTAGCCAAACACAAACTGCTTCTCATCAAAAGTACTTTTGAAAAAAATAATTTTAAGAAAAATTACTTTTCAAAATAAGCTGATTTTTGCAGTTTGGACAAACATGATTTATCATTTGTTTTTCTTCGTGTTTTGTTTCTGCTGGTGTGTTTATATAGGTATTGTGAAAGGAAACAACAAGACAGGTTTTTGGGAGCACTACTATACAGTTTGTCAAATATTATCATATTTGTTATAAAATAAAAATTATAAAGTAAATAAATCGAAAACAAATATAAAGAGAGATTGATATATTATTCAACTTCAAACTAATGTACATAATGAACTGAAATCTCTTCTATTTATAGAAGAAAGGAAGATGCTACTGCAAGCTGCTTGTAAGCTCCTACTGCAAGCTGTTGTGTAAGCTTCTTGTAAGTTGTTATTGTACCAGTTATAGATAATCTTCTACCGGAGTAATAATTATTCACAACGGAGTGCCGAAACGATAAGCTTCTTCAGAAGGCTTATTTCCAATAAAGTACTAAATATATAAATATATTTACGGCAGAGTCCAATATAGATAAGCTTTTTCAGGAAGTTTATTTACAACAGAATACTAAATGGACATCCATAATATAATATATTTATAATACTCCCCCTTGGATGTTTATTAAAAGATAATGTGCCCCATTAAAACCTTACTAGGAAAAATCCCGTGAAAAAAAATTTTAGTGAAGGAAAAAGAATACACATATCAAGTAATACGCATTGTTAGCTGCCTCATTAAAAACCTTATAAGGAAAACCCTGTGGAAAAAATCTTAGTAAGAAAAAAAAAGTACAACGCGTTTTTTATTCCCCCTGATGAAAATTTTATTTCAAATATTAAGTCTCCGCATTCCAATCTTGTATACTATCTTCTCAAAAGTTGAAGTTGGTAAAGATTTTTTGAATAAATCTGCTGGATTGTCACTTGAACGGATTTGCTGCACAATGATATTATCATTCTTCTTGAGATCATGTGTGAAGAATAACTTTGGTAAAATGTATTTCGTTCTATCTCCTTTTATGAATCCTCCCTTTAATTGGGCTATGCATGCAGTATTGTCTTCGTATAATATTGTGATTTTTTTTATTACATTCCAACCCACATTTTTCTCGAATAAAATGAATCACTGATCTCAACCGCACGCATTCCATACTTGATTCATGAATAGCTATTATCTCAGCATGATTTGAGAAGTAGCAGCAATAGATTGCTTTGTGAAGCGTCCTGATATGACAGTAACTCCACATGTAAACACATACCCGATTTGAGATCGAACTTTGTGGGGATCGGATAAATAACCTGCATGTGCATAACCAATACGATATGCAACAGTTTTGTTAGCATTCGCAAGATACATAAGTGCACTAATTGCACTGAGATAGAGTATTTCAGGACCAAAGAGTTCCTCATCCTCTTCTGGAGGTCGGAACGTGTCACGACCCCAAACTGGAGGGTCATGACTGGTAACCGGCCATACTTGCCGAGCACCGACGTACATTTTATCTAACCTTTCTTATTATCTGTAAGGTCCAACGAGGTCAACATAAATGGTAGACATGAATCACAAACAGCCAATAATGATATATAACGACATAAACACATATAACATGGGCCGACAAGGCTATCGTAAAGCTATATACAACAAAACCGACCGACAAGGCTATCCAAAACTATATATGAGACGACATCTGTCTATGAGCCTCTAAAGAAACATAAGTGCTGGAACATTGTCGGAATAAGGCCCCGACTTACCCATAACGTATATAACAAAAATGCATACCAAGACCACGACACGTCCAAAGAACAGGTCTCGCCAATAA